GCATTTATTTGGGCTGCAATTTCTGAGGCTGGTAACTCTAATGAACTTATCCTCTGCAGCAGAGGTAACTCTGGGTCTTCCATTCCTGTGGCGGTCCTCATGAGAGCCAGTTTCATCATAGCGCTTGATGGTTTTTGCGACTGCACTTGAAGAAACTTGAAAAGTTCTTGAAATGTTCGGTATTGATGGACCTTCATGTCTTAAAGTAATGATGGACTGTTGTTTCTCTTTGCTTATTTGAGCTGTAATTGCCATAATATGGACTTGGTCTTTTACCAAATAGGGCTATCTTCTGTATATCCCCCTACTTTGTCACAACACAACTGATTGGCTGAAACGCATTAAGAAGGAAATAAATTCCCCAAAATTAACTTTTAAGAAGGCACACCTGTTAATTGAAATCCATTCTAGGTGACTACCTCATGAAGCTGGTTGAGAGACTGCCAAGAGTGTGCAAAGCTGTCATCAAGGCAAAGGGTGGCTATTTGAAGAATCTCAAATATAAAATATACTTTGATTTGTTTAACACTTTTTTTGGTTACTACATGATTCCATATGTGTTTTTTTTAATAGTTTTGATGTCTTCACTATTATTCTACAATGTAGAAAATAGTAAAAATAAAGAAAAACCCTTGATTGAGTAGGTGTTCTAAAACTTTTGACTGGTAGTGTATATAATACAGAATTTGAACAGTATAGCCTTGTAGGAGTGTTTGTTATATAATTATTGTATGCATTGTGAATTGAACAATGGCTGACTCTCTGCTTGTGAAATACTGTGATTCATTGTGGCGGTGAAAATGCCATCTTTACTATGTACTACTATATTGCTGTATTTACTATATCTACATTTTAATCTAGAATTCAATGTGAGAAAATGTGTTTGGATGACACTGCACCTTGCATAATGTGTTATGAATACCACAAAATAACATGCCATGGATGTAAGAGCAATGAATGGGCTTTACTCCTGCTCTCTACCGTAAACTGTGCCCACAGCACATAGCAGAACTGATTTAAACGTTTAATTGCTCAGGTTTGTAATGCATTATGTCATTCTGCATTTTATAGATGTTGTGTATGCACAATGCATTCATAATTTATTAATTCCCTGGCTTCCCACTGTAGTTTATGGAAAATAGGGAAGTAAGGAAGTTAACATTAGTCATTCATGAGCTCTTGCTGTGAGGTTGCAATGTATAGAATTGTGCAGTAGATGCTCATGACAACAATATTGTTTTTAAATGTTGTTTTACTGCTAGCATGGAAACACTGTAAACTCAGGGCTATGGATAAAGACATTTAAGAGATGAACAAGTCAAAGTCTTTTTTTTAAAATTATCAGAGTAGGCCAGTGTGAATGAGATAGAGACTTTACTTGGACAAGAGACTATTGTATTTGACTGTTGAAGCAAGTAATGTGTTTGTCTTTGTATTTTCAATTCCATTCAAACATTCCATATAGCCTGCGCTGATTGCCACCCACACGCCAACTGCTAATCAGTGGTGGAAAAGGTACCCTATTGTCATTCTTGAGAAAAAAGATACCTTAATAGAAAATGACTCGAATAAAAGTGAAAGTCACCCAGTAAAATACTACTTGAGTAAAAGTCTAAAAGTATTTGGTTTTAAATATACTTAATTATCAAAAGTAAATGTAATTGCTAAAATATACTTAAGTATCAAAAGTAAAAGCAAGAGTATAATTAATTTCAAATTCCCTATATTAAGCAAACCGGACGGCATACTTTTCTTGTTTTTTATATTTATTTACAGGGCCTTCGGAAAGTATTCAGACCCCTTGACTTTTTCCACATTTTGTTACGTTACAGCCTTATTCTAAAATGGATTAAATTATATTTTTTCTCAGCAATGTACACACAATATCCCATAATGACAAATCGAAAACAGGTTTTTAGACATTTTTGCAAATGTCATCAAAATAAAAAACTGAAATACTAATAAGTATTCAGATCCTTTGCAATGAGACTCAAAATTGAACTCAGGTGCATCCTGTTTCCATTGATCATCCTTGAGATGTTTCTACAACTTGATTGGAGTCCACCTGTGGTAAATTCAATTGATTGGACATGATTTGGAAAGGCACACACCTGTCTATATAAGGTCCCACAGTTGACTGTGCATGTCAGAGCAAAAACCAAGCCATGAGGTCGAAGGAATTGTCTGTAGTGCTCCGAGACAGGATTGTGTCAAGGCACAGATCTGGGGAAGGGTACCAAAAAATGTCTGCAGCATTGAAGGTCCCCAAGAACACAGTGGCCTCCATCATTCTTAAATGAAGAAGTTGGAAACCACCTAGACTCTTCCTAGAGCTGGCCGCCCGGACAAACTGAGCAATCGGGGAGAAGGGCCTTGTTCAGGGAGGTGACCAAGAACCCAATGGTCACTGACAGAGCTCTAGAGTTCCTCTGTGGAGATGGGAGAACCTTCCAGAGGGACAACCATCTCTGCAGCACTCCACCAATCAGGCCTTTATGGTAGAGTGGCCAGAAGGAAGCCACTCCTCAGTAAAAGGCACATGACTTCGCGTTTGGCGTTTGCCAAAAGGCACCTAAAGACTCTCAGACCATGAGAAACAAGATTCTCTGGTCTGATGAAACCAAGATTGAACTCTTTGGCCTGAATGCCAAGCGTCACGTCTGGAGGAAACCTGGCAACATCCCTACGGTGAAGCATGGTGGTGGCAGCATCATGCTGTGGGGATGTTTTTCAGTGGCAGGGACTGGGAGACTAGTCAGGATGGAGGGAAAGATTAACGGAGCAAAGTACAGATAGATCCTTGATGAAAACCTGCTCCAGAGTACTCAGGACCTCAGACTGGGGCAAAGGTTCACCTTCCAACAGGACACAGCCAAGACAACACAGGAGTGGCTTCGGGACAAGTCTCTGAATGTCCTTGAGTGGCCAAGCCAGAGACCGGACTTGAACACGATCGAACCTCTCTGGAGAGACCTGAAAATAGCTGTGCAGCAACACTCCTCATCCAACCTGAGCTTGAGAGGATCTGCAGAGAAGAATGGGAGAAACTCCCCAAATACAAGTTTGCCAAGCTTGTACCCAAGAAGACTCGATGCTGCAATCGCTGCCAAAAGGTGCTTCAACAAAGTACTGAGTAAAGGGTCTGAATACTTATGTAAATGTGATATTTCTGTTTTTTATTTTTTATAAATTAGCAAACATTTCTAAAAACCTGTTTTGCTTTGTCAATATGGGATATTGCGTGTAGATTGATGAGGGAAAAAACGATTTAATCAATTTTAGAATAAAACATTTTGTAATGTAACAAAATGTGGAAAATGTCAAGGGGTTTGAAAACTTTCCGAAGGAACTGTACGCCAGGGGCACACTCCAACACTTAGACATAATTTACAAATGAAGCATGTGTGTTTAGTGAGTCTACCAGATCAGACTCGGTAGGGTTGACCAGGGATGGTCTCTTGATAAGTGTATAATTGGACAATTTTCCTGTCCTGCTAAGCATTCAAAATGTAACAAGTACTTTTGGGTGTCAGGGAAAATGCATGGAGTAAAAAGTACATTATTTTCTTTAGGAATGTAGTGAAGTGAAAGTTAAAAATGGCAAAAACATAAATAGTAGGGTAAAGTACAGATACCCCAGAAAACTACTTAAATAGTACTTTAAAGTATTTTTACATAAGTACTTTACACCACTGCTGATAATTTTCTTGTCAATTGTTACTCTGTTCTCATTGGTTGTTCAGACTGACACAGGTGCACATTATTTTACATAGTAAAGGAACATGTATTTCTAACCTGTGTCAGAAGTGTTTGGAGAGTTGTCCAACCAAGGTGACGTTTTACTGCCTATGGTTTTACTTGCTCAACAGTTTTAAGCAGGGGTACAACTTTCACTGGGGACATGTCCCCCCCACATTCTGAAATTATATATAAAAATATTGTTTTTAACCCTTTCAATTGTTAGAGTAGGCCACCTCTTTCACAGCCAGTATCAATTGTTTCTGCCGTTTTCAAAAACCTATGGCGCCAAATCCGCCCATCTAAACAGAAAAACAAATATTCTGCTCTCCAAAAAGAGCAAACAGTCTCTTAAAATATATTCTCTGTCAGTATCTCTCCCATGATCCAAAGTCATAAGGCTCCAGACATGAGAACAGTGGTGGGACCAAACTAGGCTATTATGAGGTTATTATCAGGCCAATCAGGCAATCGCGCCGCATTCTACAGTGCCCATTCATTTCCGATGTCCTGGAATAGTACGCAAAGAGTTGATCTCGGTTGCCAGTTAAGACAAAGCCGACGTCTTGTTTTCTTATTTCTGCTGGAGCAGCAGAATTTAAACACTGTGTCCTATATGCTATTATGTGAAGAAGCAGTTGGTTGGGCTATACATTTTATGATCTGCAATAATCTAATAAATAAAGTGTCAATATTTTCTCTATACTTGCGTACATAAATATAATTATTAACTAATCAATGTAGGTTAAAATGTATGACCAATAATAGACAGGTCATCAGGTCATTATGCCATAAACGTATTGGCAACTCCACTACTTTAACAGCTACAAAAGTGGTACAGTCTGGGCAAGGGATTTGGGCATTCCCAGTTCTGTACCGATGTATTTTCATAGTGTGTGAATACTGTACTAGAATGTTAAAACCATCGTACCCTCCCATTTAATACTGATATAATAATTGAAGCTCCACAGCCTATATCTAATGTAGGTAGGGCTCTCAGTCGGCTCGTTTATTGGCATGATTATTCTTATTAGCTCTGCGCGCACGGCAGAGACAGCGAAAGAGAGCGCCAGGGTAGGGAGAGAGCGGTTCTGACGCTGCTATGAGACCAGGCTGCAATACAGCTCTGCAAATTCAGTTTGTCTATTTCAACAATGGATGCATTGTGAGTGTGTCAGTGAACTGACAGAGGCTTGTGGGAAACAGAAGCAGACCTTTGTTTGGAATTTGTCTATTTTTTCGTCGCCAATGCAAAAGGAAATATGCAGCGAAGCCTTACCTTGGTCTTTGTCAGTTTTTGTGTTGGGTTTTGCTCTGGTTCAAGTTTCCCAAGTAATATCAATATAGGTGAGTGTTATCAGCACGGAATGCTTCTTATATCAACACGGAATGCTTATTATATCACTACTACATCTTGTCAGTTTGACATCTAAACTGCTGCGAAATTTCCAAAGTTGCATGACAGTCTCCATACGTCTAATTTAGTAATACATTCAAATATTCGTTGTATGATGACAGTTAATGTGAACCTACTTTCAACCTTGTCTTCAATGATTGTCTTTGTCTTGCTAACAGGGGGATTGTTCCCAACGGGCTCCCATGAATATGAGGTTTTTCGGTTTGCGCTATCTCATCACCAGGATATCCCCAAACTGGTACCACAAGTGGACATGGTCGACACCGCAAGCAGCTTTGCTATGACATATGCATGTAAGTTTATTCTTTATCTCCCCTGAATGAACAGTACATGTAATTGCACTGAATACTGTTCCCACTTTGATGACAGTTAGTGTTCAAATACTGTCTACATTTCTTTAACATCTGTTGCTTTAATAAATGTAAAGGATAGTGTCATTCACTCCTTCTACATTCGGACATTTTGATTTTGGAGGTAGGAAATCATCCTGTCTAAGCACTCATATTTCCATAAATCTGCAGTTTTATGATCGATTAAAACATTTTAATGCACCATATGTTGGCCTCATGCAACTACGTTTTGTCTTTCATTTTGTCTAAGGAAGCTGCACAACAGTTGGAGAATAATGGGTATTAAGGGCGCCAGAAACTACTTGGAGATGTTTTTAATCATAGCAGTCATGAAACGTGTCAACCAAGTTGAGTTGAGCTGTATCAGTGTCATTTTGGGGGAAATGATATGCAACAGCACTATCAGGGAACCATAATTATATTATCTGTTTCCTCAAGCTTCCAAGAATGTTAACCTCAGCCATAGACATACAATGCAGTAGACTACTAGACAGTGGCTTTGAGTTCAGGGCTCTTGTTATAAGAGCTCAGTGATTCAGTATTGTTCCTATCAATGCCACCTGATTCTAGACATTAGTGTGACCTGCTCAGGACATCAGGATTTGCTTTAGGAAGGAAAAGCTGTGTTTCATCTGTGTTTCATCAGTTGATTTAAATAGACATAGACTATCTAGATTATGTACTGTACATTTAAATAGACTGGACTATCTAGATTATGTACTTTACATTGAAATATATTGGACTATCTAGATTATGTATTGTACGTTTAAATAGACGTAGACTATCTAGGTTATGCACTGTAAATGACCTTAGCATTTCAGTGTGTTTTTTTCAGACAGCACAATTGATCATAGTCATGATCAACGTCATACTGATACTTGGCTGTATCAGACAGGGGACAACCTATTCATGGATTTTGCACGGTCGCGTCACTCTATTGTAATGGACGTTCTTAATCCGACTGACTCCCATTCTGACTGTGCTACCCCAGGCATTCTCAATGGGGGCTAATGATGATTTCGTCTTAAGTACACTATAGTGTCTTGGGAATACAATTATATTTTTAAAGAAAGCAAACGATTAGTAGGAAACTCTTTTGTCATCATTATGATACTGTCAGATTTACTTTAGACAGATGGCTATGTTGCCATAATCTAGCAACCATCATCATAAAAAACATAATTGAGTTGCCCAGGGTGAGTTTGAGGAACGACAAGACATGGAGAGCCATAATAACAGTTACAATAATTACTGTATAGTAGAATAATAATAACATCCAATTATCCTATTAGAACCATTAACTAGGCTACCAATAACTCAGAGAAACCACTTGATGCCTACCATGGTGAAGGATTAATGCGGAATGCATTGAAGTTAGTCTGCATGCATCACAAATACAGTCACCCTCATCTACAGCCAGGGTCTCAGGGTGTGCAGACACAGCTGCCTGCTTCTCCCAGGCAGCACAGTATCACTCACCTGGTAGAGAGCTGGGAGACACATGGTAAATGGCGTTAGTGGACTCTTGACAGTCTCTTGTGCCACACATGACCTAAGGTGTCCCACATAGCTACTTCAGGATTTTGGCAATGAAGCCCTTTATCTACTTCCCCGGAGTCAGATGAACTCGTGGATAACATTTTTATGTCTCTGCATGCAGGTTGAAGGAAGTTGCTAACAAGCATTAGCACAATTGCTAACTAGATTTAACGCTAGCATGATGTCATAGCGCTAATGCTAGTTAGCGTTGGCTCACAAAACTAGATCTACCTTCATACTGGATGCAAAGTCATCAAAATGGTATCCATGAGTTCATCTGACTCTGGGAAAGTAGATAAAGGGCTTCATTGCCAAAATCCCGAAGTATCCCTTTAAGGCCAGGCACCACACCCTAACAGGGATTTATTTTCTCTTTATCATATCACAATCAACTTTTACCAGTTGAATGTAGACACAAATGTAATATTTTTTAGGGTAACATTTGCCCATATCTATTTATATATGCGCATATTTGCAAAAAACATTTTTCTGGAAACATGAATGAAGTCGGCCTAAATATTATTATTATTATTTTTATTTTTTATTTTTTAGGGGGTAGCTTTAATATTGCAGATAGATTGTAACTTCCATCAATGTAATTGTCTGCATCACTTCCAATCCCCCATGTTTTTTTTCTCTCGCAAATATATATATATATACATATACATACATACACATATATATATATACACATACATACATATAAATACATATACATACAGTGGGGAGAACAAGTATTTGATACACTGCCGATTTTGCAGGTTTTCCTACTTACAAAGCATGTAGAGGTCTGTAATTTTAATCATAGGTACACTTCAACTGTGAGAGACGGAATCTAAAACAAAAATCCAGAAAATCACATTGTATGATTTTTAAGTAATTAATTTGCATTTTATTGCATGACATAAGTATTTGATACATCAGAAAAGCAGAACTTAATATTTGGTACAGAAACCTTTGTTTGCAATTACAGAGATCATACGTTTCCTGTAGGTCTTGACCAGGTTTGCACACACTGCAGCAGGGATTTTGGCCCACTCCTCCATACAGACCTTCTCCAGATCCTTCAGGTTTCGGGGCTGTCGCTGGGCAATACGGACTTTCAGCTCCCTCCAAATATTTTCTATTGGGTTCAGGTCTGGAGACTGGCTAGGCCACTCCAGGACCTTGAGATGCTTCTTACGGAGCCACTCCTTAGTTGCCCTGGCTGTGTGTTTTGGGTCGTTGTCATGCTGGAAGACCCAGCCACAACCCATCTTCAATGCTCTTACTGAGGGAAGGAGGTTGTTGGCAAAGATCTCGCGATACATGGCCCCATCCATCCTCCCCTCAATACGGTGCAGTCGTCCTGTCCCCTTTGCAGAAAAGCATCCCCAAAGAATGATGTTTCCACCTCCATGCTTCACGGTTGGGATGGTGTTCTTGGGGTTGTACTCATCCTTCTTCTTCCTCTAAACACGGCGAGTGGAGTTTAGACCAAAAAGCTCTATTTTTGTCTCATCAGACCACATGACCTTCTCCCATTCCTCCTCTGGATCATCCAGATGGTCATTGGCAAACTTCAGACGGGCCTGGACATGCGCTGGCTTGAGCAGGGGGACCTTGCGTGCGCTGCAGGATTTTTAATCCATGACGGCGTAGTGTGTTACTAATGGTTTTCTTTGAGACTGTGGTCCCAGCTCTCTTCAGGTCATTGACCAGGTCCTGCCGTGTAGTTCTGGGCTGATCCCTCACCTTCCTCATGATCATTGATGCCCCACGAGGTGAGATCTTGCATGGAGCCCCAGACCGAGGGTGATTGACCGTCATCTTGAACTTCTTCCATTTTCTAATAATTGCACCAACAGTTGTTGCCTTCTCACCAAGCTGCTTGCCTATTGTCCTGTAGCCCATCCCAGCCTTGTGCAGGTCTACAATTGTATCCCTGATGTCCTTACACAGCTCTCTGGTCTTGGCCATTGTGGAGAGGTTGGAGTCTGTTTGATTGAGTGTGTGGACAGGTGTCTTTTATACAGGTAACGAGTTCAAACAGGTGCAGTTAATACAGGTAATGAGTGGAGAACAGGAGGGCTTCTTAAAGAAAAACTAACAGGTCTGTGAGAGCCGGAATACTTACTGGTTGGTAGGTGATCAAATACTTATGTCATGCAATAAAATGCAAATTAATTACTGGATTTTGTTTTAGATTCCGTCTCTCACAGTTGAAGTGTACCTATGATAAAAAATTACAGACCTGTACATGCTTTGTAAGTAGGAAAACCTGCAAAATCGGCAGTGTATCAAATACTTGTTCTCCCCACTGTACATATATATACACATCCTTTTAAAAAATATAGTTCCCTTTATTACTTTCCAACCCCACCACCCATTCCCTAATTGGAGTAAACTAGTTAACAACACTACTTCAAGCTTATACATACTATATATATTTTATGGACACAGTCAATTTTACAATAATTATATTTAGTTTGTTTTTACTCATGAACTTCCTCTATCCTCAACCTCTCCGATCATTTTCATGATGTCCATCCGGTTTGCTTCTATATGCCATATCTTTCTAACTGTGCTCTTTCAAAAAGCTCTCAACCTATAACCTATATACTTATTATGGAGACAGTATGCTTTACATTAGTTATCTTGTTGTTATTAGTTGTTGTTAGTTGTTATTAGTCCCATCCTTCAACTCCATTCAACACCACCCATCTATCTCTTAACACCATCCATATTGGATTTCTATTTGCCATATATTTTTCAACTGTACTGTGATGTTTTACAAAAGTTCTGAAGCCTTCTATTCTCATTGTTTCTACAGATTGTAAATTGAAAATAATTGTATTATATTAATGATCGATTAACTATGACTTTTCAGATCACCCAGTAGTGCTATCTGCAGGGTTAGCTCCAGGTAAATATTGCAATCCTTGAGCCATTTCTGGACCTGTGTCCGAAAACAAGCTACAAATGGACAGTACCAAAACAAATGATCCTGTCTTTCGCAGCAAAATCTGCAGTGCTGGGAAGATTGTATTCCCAATATCAATAACATTATATTGGTAGCAAGAATTGTATATAATAATTTAAATTGAAATATTCAAAGTTTTGAATCCGGCGTCGTTTTGCGCATCAGTTCATAAACACTATGCCATGGAATCGGTACGTCAAAAATCTCTTCCCAACTATTTTGCAATCTATGTGGGACGGCTGTCAATCTTTTGGTCCTTAAATGAAACTGGTATACTTTTTTATTTATCACAATTTTCTTTAACCAATTATATTTTTTAATGCAGGGCCGACAGACAAGTTCCTCACTTTTTCCCCCTTCCACTTTCCTCTTCCATTTTTGCAGTAATGCTGCAATTATTTGGTTGAAATTTTGGGTAGAGCAGACATTTCCATATGTTTT